GTACCCAGGACTCAGCCATGGAGGGCCCCGGAATGATCGAGTGTGCCCGAGCAGGCTAAGAGGTGGGGGCTCCGACAACGAGCGCAGGGCCTTCCATTCAAATGAGAAATACTCACAAACACAATGTGGAGAACCCCAACGTTTGAGTGTGCTCCAGCGCGTTAACAATAGGTCCCCGTCAAGAGCGTAGGCCCTGTATTCAAATAGGAAGCACCCAAAGACCCATGTAGAGGGCCCAAGAACAATCGAATGTGCCCGAGCAACGTGAACACATGGGGCCCCCGACAAGAGCATAGGGCATTCCTTCAAATATGAAATAACCACGACACGATGAAGGGGTCCTCGAATTATACAATGTGACCAAGCAGCTTATCAGAAGAGGCCCCGGCAGGAGCGCAAGGTCCCCATTTAATAAGAAGTGCCCAACACCCAGTGCGGAGGGCCCAGAAAGATGGTATCAGATGTCGGCCATCTGATACTCAAGCAGGTTTATCAGCCGGCCCCAATAGGAGCGTGGGGCCCCCATCAAACAAGAAGTGCCCGAGACCGAATGTGGAGGGCCCCCGAAAGGTCGAGTGTACCCATGCAGCCTATCAGATGTCCCTCGACAAGAGCGCAGGGCCCTACGTTAAAATACCCAATATACAGGGCCCGAAACAATCCCGTGTGCCCGTTCAGGCCAACAGGTGGGCCCCGATAAGTGTGTAGGGTTCTCCATTCAAACAGATAGTACCCAAGGCCCAATTTGGAGGGCCCTGGACGACCGAGTGTGTCCAAGCAATTCAAAAGGTGGACCCCTCACAAGAGCGTAAGGCCCTCAACAAGTGGCAGAGAATTGGAAGCGCCCTGCAGAGGGTCCATTGCAGGGGTCCATGAGCATATCGCGAGTGCATCGGTAGGCTAACCAAGACCAACGTAAAGTGCCTCTGAGCAACCGAGAATACTCCGGCAGCTTAACATATGTTGGACCCCGGCTACAGCCTACAGAGCCTTTCTGACGAATGGAAATAATCCGTGGAAGCCCTTAATCGGCAAGAGCGTCCCGGCACGCTAGCAGGATGTAGGAATATAATATTCCAATGTTCCGGCTGCACCTTAGGCGCCTAGCATACGCTGTCTTGGCTCCAGTGATGTCGCTTCAACGTTGAGCGAAGATGGAGCGAGAATCCCGGACGATTCTACCTCTCGTATACAGCCTTACCCAGGAGTGCCATCGTGGGACTTCCCATTAGTGAGATGACGATCATATCAGTTCAGGGCGATGAACCCACTGGAGCTTTCTTGCCGCGCCCCCGCCGCGCCGCCGCGTCTTCGCCACATCGCAGCGGAAATGTCACGTTCGGCACACTGCTTAGTGCTTCAAAGTCTGATTTAGGCGCCAAACAAGGGTTGCAGCGTTTATGTCAGTATTTCTGACGGCTTGCAAAGGGGGTATGCCATGGCATCTGTGGCATGACTGACGTGTGTGATTCCTGCCGACGGGGCCTGGCTTCCCGCTGGCTTGGACTGGCGTCCGGCTTGGCTTGGCCTGGCTCGCCGGCGGCCATTCTTTTGCTAGCTGTGGGACTGCTGCGCAGCCGGCGATGTTTGGCGTCCCAGCGGCGGGACTTGGAGCTCCAACGGCCGCGTCTGGTGCGATGGCGGTAACGGAAGTCGTCTGGTGCCAGCAAACTTGATGGGGCGGCCTCGGGAGAGTTACTGGGTTCAGCTGCCCTCTCTCTCGACCGAATGCTGAATCTTGTTATGGAAGGATGCGGTCATTCCGCTCAAATTACTCACTGAGACGTCTGGGTTCTTCGCTATCGCTGCCGTCCGTTGCTGGTGCGGCGCGCCTGTATTACGCTGGATACGGCCGGTGCCGACGGGCCAGCGTCGTTCGGCTGTAGAATACGCGATGCCACCAGCGTGCTTTACATGACGGCGTGGCACAATTAGCATCACACCACGCACAGCGCTGGTGGCGTGGTCGTCCTGATGTTCAGTGAACTGCTACAACTACCTCACCTGGGCCTGATGTTTGGGATGTTTGCGATGCGGTGCGTTTGAAATTTCAGGGAGTCCGCGCTCAGTGCTCTTGTGACAGGGGTGAGGAGTCGTGGGCAGCTCGAAGTGGGGCGTGAGTTGTCTTGCATGTCGTTTGTAGCTATGCTGGACACTGCGCCGGTGTCGCCCCCTGCGGTGTCGACTTGAAGACTGGGCACTGTTTAGCCGGGTCCACTGGGTGCACCAGCGTCGGCATGGAGCTGTTTGAGAATCGCATCGTGTTAGGACTGAAGAGCAACGAGACGCAGTGACTCCTGTTCATACTTAGACAAATAGCAGCGGGTGGGCCTCCGGGCGCTTTGTAAAGCAGAACTGACACACGTCCTGCTGGACCCGCTGGGATGGCAACGGCCTTTTTGAGGCGCGTGAACCGGACTGCGTGTTTGACCTATGCCACCTTGGAATGCATGAGGTGGACTTTGTAGGGAGTCTGCCGGGGTCACAGCGGCCGCCGCCTTTGGACGCGTGGCCTGGGATCTTTGTAGAACCTGCTGAGGTCACAGCGGGACGCCTGTCCCGGTCTGTGTGGAACCTGTCGATGTCTCGGTGGCCACCTTTGGACGCACGAGCTTCACTCTGTGTGGAGCACGCTGAGACAACATGGACCACCTTGGAACGCTTGGTCCGGGCTGTGTATGTGGACTGCAGAGATCGCAGCAGGAGTCGTCTCCCGACTGTGCACCTGAGGCCTGCTTTGGAAACATCGCGCTTACCCATAAGCGTAGGCAGAGGGAGAGGGCACTGGGCATGTGCCATCCCCCTCCCCCCTCCCCCAGGTTCCGAGGGGCCGACGGGCCCTTCGGAACCGACGATCGAGGGCTCGATTTGAGCGGCCAAAGGGCCCGAAGGGCCGGCCGGAGGCCGCATTCAGGGGCCCCAGCCCGCGGGGTCGGGCACTCCAATGCCAGTCAGAGGGCCTTTGGCGTTTATCAGGGGCCCCTGAATCGATATGGGCCCACATATCGGGCAGACACCACTAGTAAACGCACAGTGGGCTCCGCGGCGGCATGAGGCCTAAGAGCCCATTTCCGAAGCAGGGACAAAGCCGGAGTCAGCTATTTACTTTGTTTGGGGCCCACAGCGCCCAACAGGGGCCCTGTGTTGTCAAGGGCCTCAAGTCGGCCAGAGGCAGTGCTCGAAGAGGCCCGAAGTGCCTAGAGGGCCCGACGGGTCTAGCGATTCAGGGCCCCTTTCAAACAACGGGGCCTCAAGGAGGCCCCTTTCCCGTAAATAGGGGGCCTCGTTTGCGTTGAAGAAAGTGGTCAAAATGAGTTTTAAAAAACGCACAAGGCCATCCCATGTTTGCATGAGAACTGTATTCTTTTGCAGAATCGACTACTGAAACAAATAATATCCAAATATTTGAGCCTCCGCGACGGGTGCCGACAATGTAGTGGTTAACGCGCCTGGGTTAACTACTGCGCGTCGGGAAACCAGAGGTACGGGGTTCAATTACGGGTACGGTGCATCATTAACCCAATGTTATGGCTGCGATATCGGGGAGCACGGACAGCGATGGCCTGGGCTGCATTCCCGTAAAACTGAACGGTGTTGGCCGCTGCAAGTAACACCATGCGGCGGGCGCTGTGCGCACAACAACCATCGTAAATTAATGTCTGTAAATGTATGCTAAAAGTAATTCTTAAACTTTAAAGATTGGACTGGGGGAATCTTTTTTTAAAGTTGTGGGGTCGTCGTGTGTACAGATTTAAAGCTACAGCAACAAAAAATAGAGATTCCAGCACCATTTCGCGGTTCTGCAAAGGCCAATTCGTTATCACAACAATCTAAAAATCGCATACGTGAAAGATGCGTCCGGAGTGCCTCTAAATCCACGATTTTATGTTCTAAAGCGGTTGCAATGTACTTTTTCAAATTACGTTGTCATTTGCGTACACGTGTTGGTCACGGCTTAATACTAACCGCGAGGCCGACGCTGCGCGGCCTATGCAGACTGCAACGCCTGGCGCCGAGGTTTTTGTTGCTAGGAAATGCGGGCGGACATGCTCATAACCATGTTACAAAAGCTGCATCACACTTATTCTGACTGGATGTTAAACATTTCTAGACATCATGGTTTGGCTACGTTAAAACAAATTGTTGAACCATTTTGATCTTCGATCTACATTAGCAGAGTCCATGATGTCTTTACGCAACCCAGATAAAGATTCTGACAGATTTGCTGAGCTATATCGGTACAAAATTGCATTGGACCGCCGTAAAATGAAGAGCGTCGGCGACGTACTTCATGCAGCCGTTAAACGCATGACATAATTTAAATAGCAACGAAAAACATGCCCCCATTGGCACATGCCCATATCCAACGATTTTGAGGACCTTTTTGCTACCAGGGGGCCCCTTGTTAACCTTATGCCCCCCCCCTTGCCAATGCTCTGGCTGCATAGCTGTGCTTACCATTGTGGTTCACAACTAATAGATTACAAACTGTCCGGCTAAGCTGAGCTCCAGTATCCAGACGGTCCAGATTCGGAATCCGGAACGGTTTGACGTCTAGGCTGACCTGGCTCGAAGGCCGTTAGAAGCCACCATTGGATGTCACAAAAATCGGCAACAGCAAAGGCGTGAGAACGGTGAGCCTGGCTGCGTGAGCCTGACTCACTAAATTGGCATCATTACTGCCAGATCTCACGTAATGCGGACGATGCACTAGCAGTCTAGGTGGTTTTCCGAATACACGTAGAGGCCACTTTTTGAAAAGATGGTGTCTGTCGACAACGTCGGCACAACGCCAGAACAGAAAAGCGATTCACTTCAAAACTTATACGCAAAGGCCGAGGTGGTTGAAACCAACAGGCGAGCGGTGACGACATTCGGAAGATTACGCAGCTCGCGGGTCCTCGCTTGCCGAGAAGAGGGTTTCAGTGACGTCACCGAGCGAGTGGGCGTTAAAATCGCCGGATGGTCGTACCACGATTTCTCTACCTCGACTTCGTCCACGAGGTGTCGATTCTTCTGGGGAGGTTTCGCCGTGGCGTCGCGGGAGAGGGTGATATACACACATCGGTCGTCTGCCAGGTAAGAACCTGTCGTTGGTTGTGCCGGCGTGCTCAGTTTGAGGTTCACTCATGTTTTTTTTTTCATTTAGGGGGAAGGTTTGTTTGCATCAAGAGTTGTAAACGTGGGAACTTCAACGAAGGCCAATATCCTTCCTACGGTTCCCGGTGCCAACGGAAGGATGAATCACGACTTTAAAATGCTTAGCTCTTTTATGGGGAACGTTTCATCACTGTCAGTGTTTTTGCGGACTGGGTTGCAGGATAACGAAGTAGCACAAAGATTGTCGTGGCCCCATGCCAGGAGCTGGTGGTGCAGTTTGGTAGTACCACACGGTGAGGTTGGGGGAATTGAAGGTGGGGTGGGGTGGGGCTGAACCATGAAACAATTATGCGGGCTACCCTTATAGTTCCCCAACATATAAGTTTCTCCCTGGATTTGGTTCACTTAGCTCTCAAAGTTTCAGAGGTAGGAGCTCAAGTGGGAGGGAGGGGGGGGGGGGGGGGGAGAGGGAGGTGGAGCGAAACCCCCTCACCTGAATAGGGACCCACACCAACTGTTAGGGGCTCCATCTCTCACTCATCCAGAAGGCTGCTGAACCTATTAATTGTATGAAAGGAGTAGGTGAAGCCCACAGATAAACCTAGTTATGGATAGTTTTGCCTTGCACTCATAAGCATGTAAGGTGTGCACAATTTGGTGTTACATGTACCAGCATTGTATTTCTTAAACTAGTCAGTTAGTTTTCCTGATTTTTTTTATCATTGACATTTCTTCACACACAGTTCAGTGCTTGCAAAACAGGCTAGAGGCATGTGCTCCAGTTGCAGGCATGCAGCTGAACTGTGTCATCAGGGGCCCAAAGTTCAGATGTTCACTAAAATCCTGTGAATCTTGAAATCAATCAGCAAAAAGCATGAGCCATTTGGCACAGGAGATGGAAAGGGTGGCCACCCTTGGCCCCACCCTTGGATATGTACCTACCCAGGTGACCAATGAGAAGACATCTTAAAGCAAAAGAAGTTTGCAATTTTGACTTGTCTACTTGCACCTGTCCAATGGTGATGGATGCCACTGATTTACCCAGCCTAAATTTTGCACTGAGATTTAGCTATCTGTCAGGGCCCATGTGTGATGTTAAACATGCAGGACTAATTGGCAGAGGTGGTGGAGAAAGAGGGGGGGCTTTGACTATTGTTTCAGATGCACATACTGTTTATCATGTAGTTGCATGGCACCATATTCAAATAAAATTTGAGTGAAAATGCTGATGCCCTTATGTACCATTTTGGTTATCTTCTCTTGTTTGGTTTGGCCATACTCTGCATTAGCGGTTTTGGCAGGTTTCTTTCATTTGTGCAATATGTGACAAAAAGCAGTGACAGGATTAGTTGAACAGGCAAATAGAAAGCAGTAATTTCTGTTATTGATCACTGTCAGCCATGTTGAAAATGGATGCTTAGATGCTGTTTTACATCTCTGGGTTTGACTTAAGTTAATTCATGATGGTAGTAACAAAAGACACTATCCATGTTGATAGCAGGGTTAAGAAACCCCTGAATCAAGGTCAGCTGATGGCACCAAGAATACCATTTAAGCCTGCTGTTTTTGATCGCCTGTTCTCCAATCCAGAAGTCAATGACTATGAATATGATTGAAAGCTAAGTTCAAAGCCTGCAAAATGATTTTTTGAATGTTTGAATACATGCTGTGTTCAAAGTGCAGTCTAAGAGGATTGTTCTAGTAGTGTGGGTCACAGTTGACCAGGTGCTCATTTGCAGCTAGAATGGACGCAACTGCTGAGGACAGCTCGGAGGGCGCGAGGCCAAGCGACCAGCCCGGTGGCCGACCAGCTGGCATAGAAGGCGTCCGTGAGCACATTGTCCAGAACAAGGTGTCGTTCGCCCTGTTCTGCACCCGCCTTGCACAGGTGCTCTTCGCCATCGGCTACCTGCTGCCCATCTTCGGGTCAGTGTATGATTGGTGATCATCAGGGATATGTTCATGAAGCTGTGAGGTGTTGATCCTCTAGGTTCCACATGCTTTTGGGCGTTGTCTGTCTCTGTACTGTAGGGGTATAGCTGGGATGGTCATCAGCCCCATCTCAAGCGAGTACATCACCCTCAATATCGTTTTATTAGCACCTGTTGTGGAAGCAATATTCAGTACCAGTCAAATTATGCGTGAAGCCGAAGGTGTCCGTTTGATGACGGTTAATGGCATCACGTGTCGGCTGTCGCTGCTGTTCGCTGTGTGATAGTCTGTGCTCTCGTCTGGCCCACACCAGGTCAGCGGCAAACGCCTACAGCAAGGCGCTGGTGGCCACCGTGGCTACGTCAGCTCTGCGGCTGCACCAGCGCGTGCCTCAGCTGCAAATGAGCCGCCAGTTCCTTGCCACGCTGATGGCCGAGGACGCCTGCCACTATCTGCTCTTCGCGCTGGTGTTCCTGTATGGCGCGCCCATGACCATGGTGCTGGTGCCGCCCACACTGTTCGCGGTGCTGCACTCGGCCAGCTACGGCTTGCGTCTCCTGGATGTGAGTGGTGACACCAGTGTCTGTCCACGGCCCGGAAAAGAACGCGGCTAGTGGCTCTTAACATTGCCAGTGGACGACGGTGCGCGGCCCCATGGCTTCCGGCACTGGGCCGACTCCGGGCTGACGAGCTGACAAGGGGTGTGCACTAGTGCTGCCACGTTTTTTGGATTTCGAGAGCCCGCGCCCCGCCCCACACCAAATGCTGAAACCCGCCCTGCCTGCAAGACAATTTGGGGGGAAAACCCCTTACCCCTCCCCCCCCCCATTACTGACCCGCAGGCATTTTTTTTTATTCCTGGTCAATGTTTCCAATATTGCCCCACTGAAGGTCCCAGAACTAAGAGCTGTAACAATTTACAGGATCACTGATTGTTTTAACTCAGTTTTTGATGACCCGCGCTGAAACGTTTTATTTGTCATTCCTGCACATATCCTTATACATAATCTGAGCATGATATTTGACTTAAAGGAAATAATAAAAATATATATATAATTATTTATTGCCTTAAAAGTGGTTTTCAGGGCAACAGTTGTTGAAGATATCACACTTCATTTCTTCAAGGCCTAAAAGTTCGACTGATTGCAAGGTTTAGAGTCTCAGAAGGGCCAACATACATTTTTGGCCAAGCGCATCAAATTCTCTAAGTTCTCACCAGCACCTTTGTCGCTCTTCAGAGGTTACTTCAAAACGATGTAAATACCCAGGCCTTGAGTCAGGGAGTATGATAAATGTCACACTTGGAAACATTTTTAACTTTTATTTACCTTGGTTCTTGTGATCTATTTCATGTCCTGCATAATACGCATAGCTGTCTTTTGTAAAGAGAAAATGTGACATCCATAGCTCAAAGTTGGTTGGTATTTGAAAGCAAATGAGCGTCATTTTCACAAAGAAGGAATGCTATATGTACTTAAAAACGGACAGCCTTACAGATTCATACGCATCATGGACAACATCTAACCCATTTGTGAACTACAAACACGCACATCAATAGCAACCTTCGCGTTGCATACACAGCAGTGCCTGAACTATGACTGACTACGCTTGCTTGCGCAACGCTTTACACCTCATGACAAGTAAAACGCGATGTGGTGAAACGCAAACGAAAATTATGTAGGCAAACGGTTCATTTCGTGAAAGGCAAGCGCGCCAAAATGATCCACTATTAGCACTTTGTGAGCAGCTGATCATATCTAGTCAGTAAAGTCACTACCAAAATTCACAAAAAGTCAGTAAAGTCAGTACCGACTGCCTTTAGTTTGGTAAACAATGAAATGAAATGATGGTTGAACAACTAACCATATGTCAAGCAATTTGTAATGCATATGGATAACACAGTGATAATAGCCTTATTCCTGGTGGAAAAGTCTGGAGAATGGAGTGACATGAGTTGACATTTCGAAAACATGCCGTTATCCAAATAAGTGTCAGTAGTAAATTAAAGATTGCGCGCAATCCTGTTCGATTTTTCAGGGTTTTTTTTTTAAACAGCGGGCCACAGCTTTTACAAGTCACCAACATTTAGGGGATTAAACAAGACGCCATTGCCAGCCATTTCTGCGATACGGTGCATATCTAAGAATTAAAATGCACGAAAAACACGTCCACGTGTAAACTAATTCAAGTGAACCAGGCATCACGCATCACGCTTCTTTCAAGCGTCCAATGGATTTCAGTTAAACAGGCATCCCGCATTACGCATCAGGCATCAATCATGCATGTAAAGAATTATAAGGTTGCGAGCAGCACGTCGCCGACTTTTTATAAGAATGCATTCAATTATTTTCCTGCTTTGATGGTACTGTGCGCTGTAGATGATTGAGCTCTAAAAGGAGACAGGGTCCCTCCCTGTTCCATACCACCTTTTGGCAACCATTCTTTGGAAAACACGCATGGGCTGAAAACCAGGTAGGTAGGTAGGGTGATGCGTATTAACCTAAAATCGTTTAAATGTTTGGGTGGTGCCTGACACGTAACGCGCGACGCCTGCTGACTTGAAGTCATTTGCGTGTACGAGAGATGCGTGATGCGTGATGCCTGTTTACTTGGAATTGCTTCGATACATAAGACAGTGGTGATAACCGTATTCCTCGGAGAAAAAAAAACAGGAAAATGGAGAGGTAGATGCGTTGATATTTCGGCAACATGTCTTTATCGAAACAACAGCAGAAGCCAAAAAATAACAGAAATATATTAGGAGAAAATAATTGAATGTATTCTTATAAAATACCACTTCTACTATTGTTTCGATAAAGGCATGTTGCCGAAAAATCAACCCATTTATATCTCCATTCTCCTGATGTTTTTCTCTGAGGAATGAATCAATTACTACTGGCTTGTGTATGTGAATACTGTTCCCCGCGAATGCACTAAACAACTTACGAAATTAACTGCATGTGTGGCTGATGTGTAATGCGTGATTCCTGTTTATTTAAATCCGTCGGCGTGCACACGTATTTTTATTCTGGTTGCGTATGTACTGCATCGCAGTAAGGGCTGGTAATTGCTCTTTGGTTAACCCCTTACTGTTGGTGACCGGTAAAAACTGTAGCTTGCTGTGAAAAAGCGTTAAGAAGCGAGTGCTATCATCGTCAGACAATTTTGAATTTACTGCTGATAGTCGATTTGATAAAGGCATGTAGCCGATACATCAATCCATCTATTCCTCCATTCTTCTAGTTAATCTACGAGCAATAAGATTATTAGTGCTGTTTTATTCGTACGGCCTCAGGTACATCAGATAGTACTGGTGACACGTACACATTAGGTAGTCATTGGGATATGCTACAAGAACAGTCGATGTCTCCGGCACTGCGCATAGTCGCGACCACCACTATGACCATGAGAGGTCGTGAAAACATCGGGACATTTTCGTGATGTGTCTCAGTGACTACCCGTACGTTTGCTTCACCAGTACCCATTGTTTACGTATTCATGGTGGGCTTTCCTCGACTTAAAAACTTGAAAGGCAGCAGAGAAGGACGTTATGGAGAGCTTGCCTATTGGCAAATATCCGACGCGTGAGGGCGTGGTCGCCGTGTGGCTGCTCTGGCGCGTTCCATGTCACGCCTGTCGGGTTGTGCCGGCGGCTGAGACGCCTCAGGGCGTGGCTGCCGTGTGGCTGCTCTGATGCGTCCAGTGTCACGCCTTGTGCCGGCAGCTGAGACGTATCAGAGCGTCGCTGTTCTTGCGCGCTCTGTGTCACGCCTGTCGGGCTGTGCCGGCAGCTGGCCGGCCAGAACAACTCGCTCGGGGCGCGCTACCTGATCTCGCTGGTGGAGCTGCAGTCGCAGAACATCCTGCGCGCCGTGGCACTCTCCGAGATCGTCCTCATGCCGTACACCGTCTTCATGCTGTTCACGTGAGCACCGGAGCTTGGCCAGGATGATTGCCGCCGTCGCCTGGTGCGCCTGTCTTCATTCTAATCTGGATCCAAGAGAAATCCATATACGTGACGATCTGAGTCATACCAAAACTATGCGGCAACTTTGAACTTCGGTTGCCCGGCCGGGCCGACTGTGACGCTGTCGACGGGCTTTTGTTCTTGGTCTTTTGATCCATCTTTGGATGGATCGCATTTGCATTGTATTTTAGAAGCAAATAGCCCACTTTCGTAATGTATCACTGTTTTCTGCTTTATTGTGCTGGCTCTGGGTGATCAGACAGGCTTTCCCGCAGCAGTTCATGAACTTTCCGCTATGTCCATACGCGCCCCACTTGACTGCGATGCGCCGTTTGTTGGACAATCTGATGCGTAAATTGACGTGAGGGTGGGTGTTTGGTGTGTTTTGCGGTGTAGGTGTGGATGGGTGCGGGAATGTGTTTGGAGGATCGGTGCATAAGCAGATTATAGTTGAAGCTTGTATGATATGCATGGTGCTATGATGATATTTGGGGCCAGGTAACCCGCAGCAGAAATTTAAGTGGACGTCAAGTTTTGCCCCATTTTCCGCCATTTAGTAATGCACACACGAAGTGCTTCCATGATCATTGTATGTATCAATTGAAATGGCTGTTTTCAGATTGCGGTCTACGGCAGATACCTGTTCGTATTTTCACGCATGCCGACCGTGCGTTGCAGGGGCCGCGGCAGTCTGCTGGTGCCCTTCTTGTACTACCGGTTCCTGTCGCTGCGCTACTCGTCCCACCGCAATCCGTACTCGCGCAACATGTTCCACGAGCTGCGCCGGCTGGCCGAGGCACAGGCCGCTAGTCCCGGCTGTCCGGCCTTCCTGGCCACACTCATACGGCGCGGCGTGGGGCTCGTGGTCTCGCTCAGCCCGCCCGCCGTGGCAGCCCATTGAGATACAGCCTGCGCGCGCTGCCGCCGTGTGGCGCTGGTCGGAGGCTGCGGTGGCGACGTAGGCCGCCTAGGCCGCCGGTGATGCCAGTGGGAACCAACGGTTCCGAACACACCTGCGGCTGCAGAAAGGCACAGGGCAAGCTGCAAGTGTATGCGACGAGTCATGATCGAACATCGAGGGCGGGTCGACGTGGTGTGTCGCCGGTCGTGGACGGTCACCTCAAGTCCCTGTCGCCCAACAGGCCATCTTAGCACGCACCCCGCGTGGTCAGCACTACATCCCAGGCATACCTGCACTGGCCGGCGTGGTGGGTCTGACAGCGCAGTCTCCGCTAATACAATGTGTATTTGGTGATCACGTCCGTTGCAGGGGCCCGGAATTATCCCATACACGTTTGTTTTGGCCCGTGGACACTACACTTCCGGCATGGAGATTTTTTCAGACCTGTTCGTGCATTTGCACCGGGGATTTCAATCGTCCTAAGAGAGTCTAAGCGTCCGTTCTGCTGTCGTCCGTCTCGCGAGATTGTGCTGCAGTATGGAGCGCTGCTGTCATGTATTCCAGGTGAGCGATTTGATGTCCCAACCCCCGACCGCGATTTGGTCCGTCCGGAATGCGTTATGCTTCCGCTGAATGAACAGACAGCAGCCAATAATGATGACTTTCGGGTCAGGTGAGATCGGGTTGATGTACTCAATCATGTAATGGTATAACAAAGCTGGCGGCTTTTGTAGAACGAACATTCAATGTGTGGAGCTTGGCCAATGTTGTGATGTCTAGCGATTGAATAAATAGCAAATCCATATTGTTGGGCTTGATAAGATGTCTTGGAGCGGACGGTTTCCTGGGGTGGTGTGCCACAGTCGGCTTCACATCCATCTGGTGACGGGGTTGCATTCAATCCGGTCACTGCTAAAACAACCAATTGACTGCTAGTGGCTACGACATCGTCCTCTAGTGATGCCAGTGTAGTGATCGAACTCAATAATTACAGCATTCCTCAAGGTGGCACCGTCCAAAACTGCGAAGTCCGCATCATCAGCTAATAAAACCTCGGAGCTGGACATGTTACACATGGGGGTTAAGCGAATTTTGAATGCGTGCACTGATGCTCACAAATTGCGACAACAATTTTGACGAAAACTTAGGTGTAGTTTGGGAAAAAAACAATTCTGACTTTTGGGGGGAACGCATCCAACGACTACTTTCAGTTCGGTAATGTTTACCATTGTTCGAAATTTTGGCGCCATTGGTTACGGAGACATCGGTCTGACCAGCTTGGGTAGCCAAAAAGTCCGTTTTTCGGAATGGTCTGATATAATTGTTATATAGCTCATTCAACGCACGCTTATGATCTGCTAGTTAGCAAATACTTAGACAAAACTTTAAATATAAAAAGTTCATCGGTTGTCGACCAAAAGGAAAAAAGGCCAAGTAACGAACTCCAAGACCAGTTGTGGCACGATTTTTTTTTTTTTTGCTCTGCACCTCTCACTGCTGATACTGAATATGCAATCAGAGTTTAAAGCTATAACTTGGTTTGCTTTTTCGAAAACGTTTAAAACAACAGTTTTTAAAAATCGTTAAGTTTGGAAAATGTTGGCATGCTACCGCTTTGGAAAGATGCGTACTTGAACTCTCTACAAAAACGATTGCAAGATGATTCACCTCCGGAGCATAGTTTTATCATAAAACATGTTTCGAATGTACGCTGTTTTGCGACAATGCACTTTTTGTTGGACAACTTTAGATCATTGTTCGATGTGTTGAAATATTGTAACTTCAATGCAAAATTACCCGGCTCAATGGGATGTTTTTTCGCAAATAGCATTTGGGTTAAAAGCCATGGAAAAACAAGCCGGCGGGCACACTGTGCTTGCCCAATAATGTTACGCTGAACACGAGAAAATCCTATTCAGTAAGGACCACACAAATAGCAATCTTCACAGCGGTGCATGTAAATATCTGAGAGAGATCAAAAGATGCTTTTACACTGGCAGAAAGCCGAGAAGATGAACGTTTTTAATGAAAAACTTGAATCTAAAATTTTAACGCTGGAAATTTCCAAGAATTCCGAAAAAGAAAACAAAAACAAAAATCTAAGTTTTGTAAAAACATTTAGTCCATCTAGATAGCACAAAATGCATGAAATAAATTATCTACGTCTTTTTGAAATTTCATAACTGCATTCATTTTTTCTTTTTAAAAAAATTGACCAAATGTTGGCTAATTGACTATCTTGACTACTCAAACGTGTGTGCCCCTTAAGGTGCACCTGGTTCTCAGCTGGAACATATTTGTTACAAAACGAGACTTGATTTGTTATTGATTACGCCACGAATCGTTGAACAGAGACAATTTTTCCCGTAGCGCTGCGTGCGACACTTAGAGAGTAGCCGTTTTTCACCTCAGTGTGACCATGTTTTTTTCTGATTGTTAGATAGAGAGATGGTCCTTGCCAAGGGTTATGGATATTTTCATCATTATCATGCCATTACATTTTAAAAGTGGTTTTGAAAAAGGATCCGTAATAGCCTAAAATTTACCCAACCTTTAAATGCTAAAAATGCATTTGCAAAAATGCAAAATGCAAAAAACACGTCAACTGTGTAAAGCAAACAACGTACTAACCAAACAAAGGTTGAAATGTAACTGGCCTGATGCTTAAACAAAATTTTCATTTCAAATAGTTTTACCATCTTTGACCAACTGACCACTTTGATAAAAATAGTTTCTACTTGTCCAAAAGTTGCACCCGTTCCTTATCTACGCTAGGTTTTTCACAGAAGCAGGTTGCGATACATTTTGCGGAGAATATATTTCTTCAAGTCGAGGCTGTATTTCCCGCGGCGTTACGGTGAAACGTGGATTTTAAAGTGTCACTTTAACAAGACTTTTGCTATGTATCAAAATCAGTGCCTTCATCTTTGCAAGCAGTTTGGCAATTATCAAGTGGTAAACGTGAGCCAAGTGTTCGGATTCTGGAGTAAGAGCTAGTGTCACGAAAGTTCATCAAACTATACACTTTTCCTATCGGGGAAAGCATAGGAAAAAAGGACCTATAATTGTTTTCCGGAATTCGGACTACCTTTGATGCCTGTTACCAGGCATGTTAGCTACCCTGAACAAACCATGCGTTAAGTTCTGCGATGAATATTCAAACCTTCAGCGCCAATAATGCTTAAAGCCCCAATTGGCACGTGGTATAAGGATCAGTTTAAGGGTACTAGGAACTAACTGATTGCTTCTTGGGGAGCAAAGATAGTCATTTCCTGGTAAAGCAACCTTACTGCGACCATTTGAAAGCAAGTTTGGCATTGCACACTAGGTTCATCCTTTGCCAGGGATCACGACCTGATAATCATTGGCTCATTGTGAGACTTTACGGGGGTGTATCACATTTCTTCTGGGGAGGGGGGCGAACTGAAAAAGTTATCTTAAAGATCATTCGGTGCAGTTCACAGCCCTGCCCCTTCTAAGACCTAAGCCCTTTTAGTTTCTAAGCTACACGCCCACGAAAATGGTGAAGCTTTCGGGGAGAGTAGTTCAAGGTCATGTCATTCATGACGCCATTCAAATCCTGCGTTTTATAAGCCATGCGACGATCAAGGCCAAGAAAAATAAAATGCTCGAGTCGTTCATATCTGGCGGTCGCGAACACGATTTCCATATACAGTGGCCGTCATGATAACGACAAGGAGATAAATTTCATAAACGTCGTAAATGTGACATTAGACAAAAATTGTAATGGTAGGGTCAATTCTCGGTCATTTATCTTACTTCTTTAAAAAATGAAAAGACCGCTTCGGCCAATTTACTGAAACGTTATGACTCACAAAGTATAATACCCAACCTAGAATATTTTCGTTATCTCTTGTGCAGCTGCAAGGTGAACACCTAATTAACATATCCTTATCGTACCAAATTTACCGCTTTGACCAATGACCAATGGCCAATTTACCTAAACGGTATATCTCAAAAAGTATGATGCCCAACTTAGGATGATTGCCGTCATTGCATGTCCCTTTGCAAGGTGAACATTTCACTGATATATCTTTACCGTACCAAATTTGCCGCATTTGTTCAAAGACCAAGAAACCAGCGAGAGGTGATGAACTCGCTAAATTTGCGGATAAAGCACAACTATGCCCAAGTTTGACTAGCCAGGATTTGTATTTTTATTTATGATACATTCATCCTTCGTCCACAAAGCCATGCCTACACGATGCCCTTGGGCCCTTGGGGTCCAAGTTTGTCTATGGCAGCCCTAGCAAAATGGCTCCTGCAGGGATAAATGTTGTGTGTTGGGTTATTTTGATGATATATTTACCGCATTTTATCATGAAAGAGATAAGATCACTGCAGTTATTTCACCTGTCCAGAAATTGCATGAGTTCTACGACTTAATGTCGATTATATTGTTCGATACCTGAACAGTGTTTGAACCGATATGCTGCAAACAGTGACGGACTCCGCAGAACGGGCCTAGCCATTATATATGCACTGTCGTTTCATCATACACAAAATGGCGTGCGTCGAAATGACGGTGGACGTGGCACGTTTCTGACTGTGCGCGCTTTCTCGTAACTGCGCTGGATGTCCCATTAGGCCAGTGAATATAACGGTTGGCCTAAATACGCTTGCATTGGTGACGAAATCAGTGTAACTAGAACCGGTGAAGTCTGGACCACAAATTTTCATGTATCGAATTTATCGGGTCCGGTCGTACTAGCCCAAAAGGTAGCCGCCAATCCGCCTTTCTCAGATTTGCAAATCCTACCCGATCCAGTCTGGCTCAGCATAGATATGGTGGTGTCAAGTTGTGATGATTCGGGCTCACATTTTTGATGTTAACAACACAAAAAATTTCGAGGATATCAAGCCCTAAACAGATTGCATTTAAATGCAGTTTATCTGACTTGTTCGGATGTTATTTTGCATCGACATGAAACAAAAAGTACCGACGTGGTAGGTAGGTAGGTGGTTTCAAGTACCATTGAAAGGGTCCCGAAACCTTCATTTTAAGGGTCAACCCCTTCCGCAAAATAGGCACCACAAACCATCATTGTGGAGTAAAGTAAACATTGCTTAATTATGCACCCAATTCCAGCGGACAATACAATGGGTCTCAGAACATACAATACACCAACTTGGTGTCCCGGCACCAATCAGGAATTGGACTACCTGTGCCGAAAAAGGACACTTTTGCCTTAGTGACATCTCCCTTTGTTGGTCCTGTGCCAGATGCCCAGGCCAGGGGGCTTACTGCATCAGGGATGAGACCCTGGCATGATGTATCCCTTTGAGGCCACCCCCCCCCCCCCCCCTCCCGGATCGACCAGGGTACCGCGGTTCCCGTACGGCCAGAATAGCAGTAGCTAGGTACCCCGAGATGAGACTAAAGGACCCTTCAGCTCCTGACCAGGAAAATACACATGCGATTAGATTGTGGCAAAGTTCGTACTATTGGCGTGATAGTTACCTCGCTCGCGGCAGCCTTTCTCGTGAGTCCACCAAAGAGAGATCTTGTCAAACCACAGTTTCTACTTTCTAGTCACTTACACGCACCAACACTCACACCACAACGTCCACCCACACAACCAACAGCAGTCTTGCTTCTTCGATCCCACAGAGGGTATGAACATACATGGTGACCGATCGCGCGCCTTACAACTGCACGCGTCGGAAGTGATTCACGGCCACAGGGTTGAAAAATAATGTCATAGTTTTCCCATGAGAAGCGAGTACGACATCGTACGATGGTCGGCGAAGCCAATCACAAATAAGGGTATCGTCCTTAGCGATCCCAGAACTTTTTGATGCAAATGAGAAGTAGTGAAGGTCTGAAGGCGACTTTTAAAGGAAATATCGAATAGCATTACGGAAGGCGGCCCTGCCGAAGACTTCGCCGTCGTCCAGCCTCAGCCCACCGCCACCGCTCCGCTGCCAACGGGCTCCGACCCTGCCGAAGACCTCCCGCCGATGATCGGCTGCCCGGTGTCAGCGCTGTCGGTCTTGCTATGGACATTAACCCAGGACAGGATGTCAATAACATCGGCCAGCCAGCGACAATGGCAACTGATCGCGAAGAATGGATACGCTGCGAGGCATTATTTGAGACCAGTCCAAGTTACGTGTGGCGATGGCAAGTGCAGGCAAAGGTGTGCTGGAAAGGTGTGACAAACGTGCAGCGCCAAAGGATTAAAGGCATGGTGGATCGCTTTGCGTGGTCAGCTCGTCGCCAGTGGTTCCGGTGCTACGTGAAGAGGAAGCAGGTCAGGAGCAAGAGGAACTACCAGAGCGTGGGGGCAGAAAAGCACGGAGCTCTTGTTTGGACGCTTCCGCATGAAAACGACCAAGCCGTTCCCGTTTTCGAGCCGTTCTTTGTGACAGCAGTGGACTTGAAGTCTAACAACGACCAGATCGTCTGGCACGCTCTAAACTATGCTAAAAAGGAGGACGAAGGAGGAAGTGAAACACCGAAGACCAAGATGGACTCGACTGTCATCCGAAATTACGTCCAGAGTTATCGGCCATGCGCACATCACTATCGGTACAATCACGCACCGAAGAGACCATCCGCTATCCAATATTTGCTATTTACAAACAGCTATTGGCATGCATAACAACCTGACTGAGAAGCGTGGGAAATAAGCTTCGAACGGTACCGAAGGGAACTAAAGCTGTTGAATGTAAGCTTAACCAGACTTGGCAACGAGGAATTGAGAACTGTACTCGTCAATTGCGCAACGCGAAATCAGTGCATAAAGCCCCAAACAGAGCTGGCTTCGCGTACGTCGGCGGGTGCGGTCAGTGTCAGGAGCATAAGACACATTTGGTCAGGGCCAGCGAGGCTAGAGCTGACTATCGAGAGAGAGAGGCGAACAGCAGGTGCGATGACGACAGATACCTGTGCATCGCAGGCCTAATGAAGGTAACGCTGATTTCTTTCCTTCCTTACAAAACGGTCTCCTTCAGACCCCGTATTGTTGTTCATAACGAAACATTTACTGCCCTTGAGAGGAAAGGAAAAGTAAAAAGGCCGAAGAAGTCGCTGGCAGTCCTGTGGCATGAGGCAACAGCAGGTGCTGCGACGTACTGGCGCCTCCTCAGGGAACATTAAGACGAAAAGAGAATGACAATCTTCACAGGCAACTGTCAGGAGCAAAATCAGCCGTGGATTAGCCACTGTACAGACTGTCGTCCATTAGACCCCAAACGCGATAGAAAGCATTGCTGCGAAATATCCTGGAGAAGAGCCGCACTTCGATGGGCACCGATTCATCTCGCCGTAGGTTCAAAGAAAAACTTAAAGGCCAAGGTGTCCAATTTTCAGGACTTCCGGCGAGCAGTAGAGAATACAGATATGAAAACGGCCACGATGTACCATGCCGACCTTCGCGTGTTCCACGATGGACCATCCTCTAAAAAGCTTAACTTGCTAGGCAAGGAGGGTCTGCGACCACACCCTCAGGACGTTCGCTGTCTGCAAGTTCTTGGAGGTAGTGAACAGATGTACATCAAATAGTATCACCTCCAACAGCAATGGAAGGCGTCCAGCCTCATGAAAACTACCTTTGACCCACAAGAATATCCAGAACGTTGCACCAAACTGCGCGGAGGTAAACTGAACAAGGTGAAGATGGACAAAATCGTGGAAAGACTGCCACCACTGACGCCAGAGCACAAACACGGCTTCTGGCTTACACTGCAAAAGCGGGGCAGCGTTGGCGTGCGGTATCTGTCGGACTGATGGGTCACGCACACATGGACAGTGCGTGAGTGTGCGGTATCTGACGGACTGATGGGTCACGCACACATGGACAGTGCGTGAGTGTGCGGTATCTGGCGGACTGATGGGTCACGCACACATGGACAGTGCGTGAGTGTGCGGTATCTGGCGGACTGATGGGTCACGCACACATGGACAGTGCGCCTATGAAATTCACTGCGCAGGTCAGCTGACCTTCCGATACCTGATGTGGGTATCCACTACCCTTGCGTGTTTTTGGGCGGAGAAAGTATTCTTGAGAAAACAGATGACTTGTGATCTACTCCCAGTACATTGTGTATGTCAAAAATACATGTTCGAAGAACATGACGTGTTTAACACTGATATTACCCGCTTAATGAGGGAATCCGGGAATGCTTTTGGAGGAGATGCGACATGAGCTTCGATTTGTAGGATGATCTCTTCAAGGTAGGTAAGGAGGATGCTGTCCACGGTGCTCCAAAAGGAAGTGCAAACACCACCCACTTTAAAGTCGGGTCAAATCTCCCCAGTTTAATCTCCCTACGCTTAAGCCTGTTGATACAGGCCATCAAATTCCAGCCTCTCTACGACGGAAATCAGTCAATTTTTAGTCACTGCTTGGAGTTATATGCCTTGCATATATTTGCGCTTGCCCTTACCTGCCCTGAAGCACCCTCCTTACCATCAAAATAAAGCGCATGTATGCACCCATGTTTTTTCGTTGCACACGGTGGTGAACTTGTGTTTTTCTGATAGCATCCATTGTATTTGTGTTTTTCTTACATGGCGGAAGTCACGTTAGTTGCTACAAATGTCGAAATATAAAAACCGTTCCTGAATTTCTGTGAAGTTCATGTGTTAAAGCGAGAAAAACAGCATGTAAAGCGATTCATTTCGGTGTGTCGAATTTAATGGTATATAATTCAAGTGTGTACGACAAACCAATTGTGCGATATAGCAGAAAATCAAAGAAGCTCTCCCGAAAAGCTGCAAAATGCGAACGCACTTTTTTGTGCGGCAGATTTTCGTGGATGGTGGTAACTCGCGTGTGTTTTGTGCACGAGCTCTTAGACGCCAGATCAACCCAAACGAGCGATCAACACCACAACACACGGGGTACTATCAGCCACATGGCGATCAGCACCGAAATACACCGGGTACCGTTGGCCACGTGGCGATCAGCACCGAAATACACGGGGCACCGTCGGCCACATGTGCTCGCGTTGGCCCACGGCGCCAAGAGCCGTGCCACCACGTGTGTTGAGCGGAAATGAGGGCACTTAAAGCACATGGTCTGGTGAGCGCCAAGATTGAGTGAGTTCGATGATGCATATCAATACATTTCCATGCATCATGCTCTTGACTTATTTGTATACTTTCCATTCGATTTAGGATCAGAGCCTGCGGACGAATAGATGTACATTTTTGGGACATACTCGTTTTGTTCTCAAATGTCTGGGCGCGCACTTTAAAAGGTACTGCCTGTCGTCGGGTCAGCGTGCTTGAAGTGTGCGGGCACCATCATACTGACGACGGAATGTTTGTTGCTGCTCCGAGACAACAAACCCGCGCTTTTATAATCTTCAACACAGGTGTAAGATGCAGCGCAGGTGTAAAATACAACTCAGGTAAAGAAGCAGGGCAACTAAACAGCCACCAAAAAAAGCAAGCGATGTCTGTATTTGTACGGCATACGTTACATAATGAACACTCAAACCCCACACAAGCAGCTTCTTGGCCGTCCCAACTCGGGGTAACGCAGGCGTCCACCACAGGACGCCACCAGATCAGAGCACGATCCAGAGCACAGGCCGGCCAAGGTATTCGAGAGTGAGTACGCGCAGTGCAGCCGCAGCTGCGAAGGTAAGATCAGCGAATAGGCGGTGAGTGGCGGTCAGCGCCCGCTAATACGCCCGCCAACCGGTCCGTCCCCGACAAATGCAGGTCCACCGAATCCTTCGGGTCCACTGAGGTCTCCGAGAGGGCAGTGGAAGGCGCCAATGCCAATGACCCTGCCAGTGTCAACCGGAGACCGACGAAAAGGTGCAGTTTCCGAAGACCACACCTTTCTGCGCCGCGCCGAGACCCTGCCTGTACGACGCGTCCTGCCTCGGTCGGACGCAGCGTGCGGCGCCGTTGCTCCTGCCTCGAGCGCACCAGCGCGCCTGCCGAGAACCACCGTCCAGTGGCTGCCGCGCCCAAGACGGTGTTCTCCAGACCCATGCGCCAGCCGACTTTGGACGTCCACATCCGAGGACTTTGGTCAATCACCGGTGGGCTCCGGACTCGCACCAGCACACTCAGTCAAGCACCACATGCGCCGGCAGCTGCCTACGCCTGCGGACTCTGGCCGCTTCCCTCGGCGCGCAGCCGAGCGGACGTCAGCCTCTCGTGCTGGTCTACGATCTTCCGTCCGAGCATGGTGTTGTGCGCGCGCAGCGCCTGGATGCAGTCGGCCTGGCGGCGCAGCAGCCGTCTGACGTAGGCGGCGTCGTCCTTACTGGGGCGGTGCGAGCGGGACAGGGCGCGCGACGGCAGCTCGGCATCCTCATCCGCCACGTCCGGCGGGCAGCGGGCCGCGTTGAAGCGCAGCACCAGACCTGACCGACACCGAGCACGGGTTGATGTCAGGTGGGGGAGGTTTATAGCGCAGCACCAGACCTGACCGACACCGAGTAGGGTGATGTCAGGATGGGGGAGGTTAAAGCGCAGCACCAGACCTGACCAACACCGAGCGCGGTGATGTCAGGATGGGGAGGTTAAACTACAGCACCAGACCTGACCGACACCGAGTAGGGTGATGTCAGGATGGGGGAGGTTAAACCACCAGCACCAGACCTGACCGACACCGAGTAGGGTGATGTCAGGATGGGGGGGGGGGGGGGGTGTAAACCACAGCACCAGACCTGACCGACACTGAGCGCGGGTGATGTCAGGATGGGGGCGGTTATAGCGCAAGCACCAAGTGTGACAGGCCAGACTGACATAAAACACGTTTCAGCGCAGTATCCGGTATGGCGGGCACGGAGTCAGGGTTCAACCGGGATGGAACAGGCATCTATGCAGCACGAGACCTCGCCGACAGCAGGTGAGGTTAGTACGGGGCGGAACATTTACGGCACAACACCAGGTGTGGTGGACACAGGATGGCAGTTGCGTCAAGGTGCAAGGGGTCAAAGTGCAGCATGATGGATGCAGACCTGATGGACGCGGGAGGAAAATACAAGTTGTGTTAGAAACGTCATGGTGCAACACAATACCTGACAGGTTCTGACTAATACTTAGTGTAGGTGTGTGTGGATTGGTTGGTGTGAATTGCGTTACATCAAAGCATGAAGGCTGACGAGCCTGGACTATCAGTGGGGCTCGACTGTTCTGCTCACTGTTCTGCACCAAACCTGACTGGCGTCAAATGACGTTCATGTCAGCATGGGACAGATTGCAGCACTGCGCAAAGGCGCGACAAGCACGGATCAGCAAGCTATGCACATATCTGACTGACGAGCGCGATCAACGACAGTGGGAGCTGAACAAATCTGCTCGTAAGCACCACGTACAGACCTGCAAGGAACTGACCCGGTTCAATCTGCCGACCTCTGGCCATGGGCTGCTCCCGAATACTCACGCAGGTACTGCACCAGCACGGGCAGCAGCACGATGGTCTCCAGCGTGACCATCAACTGGACGTAGTGGAACGCCGAGAGCGGCCACTCGCCCGGCAGGGGCGACGGGTTCGGGTCGGACGGCGGCGGTAGCTCGCGCATTATCAGCGACAACAGCAGCAGCAGTACGTTTCCTGTCGGTAAAATCCCGAGGTGTCTAGGTGGTGGGCGCTGTGACCTCAGGAGAGTCTGGAGTGGAGGACTCTTATCGTCAGCAAGTCTGGGTTGACTGGGTCAGGGAGTCTGGGCTGACTGGGAACAGGTAGCCAGCGAAATCGGGCTGGTCTGTGGCTGGCGGTCAGGAAAGCCAGGCTGACCGGGGTCACGGAAGCCAGGCTCGTCTGCGACCTGTCATCAGGAACACCGGCCCGACCTGGGACGGATCGTAATAAAGCCGGGACTGATCTGGGTCACGTTTCCATCTGCTCGCTGTCTAAAAGGAGACACATGCCAAACGCCCTTAACAAAATGCGATGGCTGTGGCTTCGGCTTTCGTTTAAAGATTTAAACCGTGTACTCTGATGCTCATTGCGTTGCCAGCTGACTCCGCTCCCGTGAATGGTTTCGACGTTGTGTGGAACTAACACAACTCCGTGGCTTTATGAAATTAGGCCCAGGGCCTCCTTTCCATATGGTACACTGATGTGTATGCTGTATTTCGATGAGCTGAGAACGATCGCATGGTCACGATCATCACCATCAGTTGGTTAGGCGCCTGCTCTCCGATTCAACCATTAGAGGCGGGATGAGTTTACGCTACTTTTACGACAGCTTCTATTTGCTGATGCGGCTAATGTATTGCGGCTACGACTTGCCTCTTTGCGACTGGGATGGTCTGTTGTCGGTGGCGCAGCCGCGCCAAAAGGTAAGGTCACGTGGAGGGCAAGATGGACCGTGCCGAGCATCGAGGTACGTTAAAGAGAATGCCCCTCACTTGAAGATATTGAAGCCATCATCAGTTATCATGAGATAAGCCTCCCTATACCTAATGGCATACTTTCAAGTGGAAAAGAAAGCGCAATTTCTTCCAAGTTACAGACAGAGACAATTTCTCCGTTTAGAAAGTATTCTCCTCAATACGTCATTGTTTGACTACGTCATCCAACCTTGCACAACACTGATTGAGAGCTAACTGACGAGCGTTATACCTGGAAATCATGCTTACGAACGCCAGATATGAACGACTCGACACTGATATTTTTATTGATCTTAACCGCCGCATGGTTAATGGAATGGCAATATTTGAATGTCGCTATTATGGAGTCATGGATACCTGGGTGACCTTGAATAGTCTCCCAAAAAGTCTGCACACCTTCGCGGGCGTGTGGCTTAGAAACTAGAGGTGTTCAGTTTTTAAGAAAGGCAGGGCTGTGAACTGCACCGAATGATCTTCAAAATAGCTATTTGGCTATTTCAACAGCTATTTATATATAGCTAAATGACTATTTATATTTTTATTATTATATAATTATTATCATATAAATGGCTATTTCAGTTCAAAACCCCCTACAAATATCGAACATTCAATAGAACAAGAACATTCAATAGAACAAATATCGAACAAGTTTCAGCCGCGAAATTCCATTGCAAACATGCGACTTCACGATTGGTTGGCAACGCCACGGCTTACACAACAAGCACTGCTCAACGTGGGTGCTGGCTACCCGTACGTGGCCACGCAGAATTTCGAATGGCTCTGACCAGCTGGGCTTAAATCTTTCCTTGGTTAAGGGGAATGTCCCACATTTGAGGATACTGAATCAAGCATCAAAGATGATGAGAAAGTTCACTTATGACTGTCGGTATACTTTAAGTGGAAAAGACAGTTCACGACAACACAATTTCCCCATTTAGTAAATCTGCTCTTAAATACGTCATGGTCTGATTGCGTCATGCTACCTTGCATAACATTGACTCAGGGCCAATTAACAGCCGTCATGTCTGGCAATCGCGCTCACGAAAGCCAGATGTGATTGGCTCGACAATTTTATCTTTCTTGGCCTTGATCGACGCTATGGACAATTAAATGGTAGGATTTTGATCACGTCATTGTGACGTCATGCATTCCAAGGTGACCTTGAAATACTCTCACACATCTTTGCGGCCTTTAAGCTCGGGAACCAAAGCGTTTTGGGTCTCAAAAAGGCATGGCCGCGAGCTGCATGGAAACGTCTTCAGTACAGCTTTGGCAGTTCACAAACTCTCTACAAATGTGGAGCACTCCCCTTGGCTTGAGTATCGACCACCGCCTGAGCTAGGCGTGAGCCGGATCACTTTTTTACCAAATGTATGAGTTATAATTGGTCTTTGCGTAGCGTCGAATGCCGGAAATTTCAGCAACCTATGCTGTTATTTTAGTAAACACCGATACACGTAACGAAATCACGCTTCTTGCCGAAAGATTGGTCAGACCGATTCGGTCATTTGTTTGAAACACCCGCTTACTCCGTTGTTAACACTTAACGACCTTTCGAAACTCACAATATATATATATATATATATATATATATATATATATAATATTGTATATAGTATATTGATATTGATATTGCATATAAGGCATATATATATATATATATATATATATATATATATATATATAAACACGTGGTGACGGGCTGAATATTGAATGAGGAAGCAGGCATCTGTATTTTATATGTAGGTATATCTTACAGCATGGGAAATGTCTGTAACAATATTATCTATAATCTATAAATATATAGCCATATAACAAATAAAGGTAATATCTTATACTAAGGGAAAACTCTGGCGTTTGGCCGCTTTAAAGTCGAGAGCTGTTCGTGACACACACCCCGAAACCAGGCATTTTTCTTGACGCATACGTACAGGGACCAGCAAGGTGGGTGTCCCTGGACGACGAACGGGGGCGCCAGCAGTGCGACACCCGACCCGTACACCACGGGGTAGCAACGTCATCCGTCTTGTCCAGTCGCGCGTACGCGGCGCACCGCATCCCCTCCCCCACCCCCACCAGCCTACCTACCGACTGAGTAGACAACCGCCGGGAGCTTCCGATGCAGCCGCTGACGCCTGGTGAAAATCGGAGTAGCCGTGGATGTATGAGTCGAAGTGCAGGCGGTGCAGGATCAGGTGCAGCACCTGTGACGGGCAGGCCAACGGTGAGGGCGTCGCCTGCTGGCAGCGCGGGCCAAACCACCAGCGGCACAGTCAACAGCACATAGTCAGCCGGCGTGTGCATTGGTTTTCTGTCTGACCTGCCGCCTTTCCAGCAGTTCGGCACACAACACAACAACGTACCCTGTTGCGGCTGTGTCACCCCGAGTCACGGCACTTGTCATTAACGGTATCACGCTGGCGTGGCAGTGTTCCACCACTGCGACGAGATTACAGCTGCCTTAGGTAATCCGGCCCTATCAGACCACGCGCTTGCCAGCAATGCCACCTGGCAATACAATAATGGAGAGAAAAAAAACGAAGAAACGGCCTGATCTTTTCCTGTTCATACAACGTACTGACGTCGTTGTCTTACGCGCATCATATCGTGAAAAGTATTCGGAGGTGGGGCAAAACTAGGACCAAGCAGCTCAACCTCCAAAAAATGTAGCTTCCTTATGGGATTTACGTCACTGCAATAAACAACCTAAGACGAGCTTGGGCTTCACTTTTTGCATCAAATAATCAAAAATGAATTAACAAAGTAGTCAGGGCCATTTACTACCGCCCCAGGAACATTTAAAATACTTTAAGTTTTCTTTAATTTTGTTATGTTCCAGCACACACAATGGAGATTACAACGAAACTGGCGGCCCTTATCAACCATAAAGGGAGGGAGCTGGTTTCTTTGTTGTTCTTTTTTGTAAGGGCGCACGGGGCCTTCATAAAAGGATGGAGGAAGGCTGAAGGCTGAAGGAAGGCTGGAGAACGTTGCAGGAAGTTCGCCCTGTGTAAGGCTTAAGTTATTCCATGATTTCGTCATGTTCCAGCAAACAGAGAGAAAGCAATGGGGGATCCAAACCAACACTGAGCACCAAGCTCAACATTGCAGGAGGGGGCGGCGGGTCCCAGAAACGAGCAGATACCGACAGCCCGGCGCTGGTCGTCCTGCTGAGATCTGCCGCAAGATCTGCGCCACTTCCCGGCCCGAAACAATCTCCGTACGATTCTTGGTACTGTGACCTTCCGAATGTCGAGGCATGTTAATAAACAGAACACCAATCGGCTTTTTCCTTAAGCGACTTATTTATGTTGAATGTGTCTGCATGGGGACGTCTGATGGCACTTCGAGTACCGAGCTGGGGCTTGACCTTGCTTGATCTCATTCGACCCGAGGGTCATATAAGATCAAACAACGTCATATATTACCTAGGGGCCTCAAAATTGGACACAAATCAGTCATATACATGCCTACCTACCCTATGAATTTGGTGTCTCTAGTCCTCTCTTAAATTTTGGCAGCTCAGGGGAGGGGTAAAACTGCCCCCTCCCAACGCGTCGCATTCGACCGGTCACACATGTGCATACACACAGGCCTCGAATCAACGGGATGCAAAAGCCGTCGGTTTCGAAACATAAAACATACGCTAGTTTTAGTTTTCAACTGTCATGCTGGCATTTTGGAACGGGAAAATAAAAGCCCAGAACCAAACATTGTTTCAGTGTATTTTCAGGCCAGTGGCATACATGTGGTGGTCTTATACGCTAACTGTGCCGTATATGTATTAATTAGATTTACAGAGTAAATTAGCTGCTGATGCAGCTTGAATTAAAAATTCAGAACTGTTACAACAAATCATCCATATTTTTGACATGCCGAAAAACAACTTTCCTTGAGCTGGCGGCTGAGACATCGAATCAGTTTGGTGAGGGAAGAGGCAAAAAGGAAGATGGGTTTTTATTGATGACGGGGAGTCTGGAGAAGGGCCAAGGCCGGAGTGGTACCACGCCGACTTCGCAGTGCCCGGCTTCAATGGATGGCATGCGGGAAAAGACATTTACATCATTCAGACAGCTACAAATAAAACAGGTGCACTGCAAATAATGAAATGGCTTGAGCCTCGCTGCATTTGGACCGGGGGTTTGGTAAAGTCAAAGGCACAGGTGCAGGTTGGCTGGTCGATCCTATAAGAGGGAACTTTCCAAAATGATTGATATTAGCTTCTGCTATTCTTGTCTGTTGACCTCCTTTGTCACCGAGGTAAAACGCCTCTGATTTTACCTGTGAGATGTGCGTCTGAAAAAATCTAGTCACCGTTTTAGGCGCTTGCCATATACGGCATTCATCATCCTACCAAGCATGTCGTTTGTCGCGCTCACGCTCACGCTCACGCACACGCTCACGCACGCACACACGCACTGCGCACGCGCACGCACACTTGTCTAGCCTGCGGCGGCCACTGTCGCCTTTTGGCCCGTGTGGTGGTGGCCGAGCCCGAGATGGCGCTCGGTGAGACCAGCCGGTGGCGCGGTCCGAGCCCTACTCACCCCGCTGCAGATCCAGGTGACGATGTGCAGCAGCGTCTGTAGTGTGCATGTCTCCAGGCCGCAGTCGTCATATTTGCAGAAGAAGGGGAACGGCAGCAGCAGCACAGCCAGCAGCAGCGCCACCTATCAGGGCAGGCCCAGGCCAGTGAGCATGGTGGCTGGCTGGCAGTCATTAAATTAACATCACCTCTCGATGCAATGGTTATGCATTCTAAATGGCATCCTCACACATTTTCGTAGTCGTCTTCATGGTTGTCGACTGTATGCGCGCAGCCGACGATGAGCGGGGTAAAGCTACCTATCAATAAGGGCAATCACTGACACCCTGGCGGACGCTTTAGGAAATCAAAGTAGTAATTCCGGCCCTATTTAAGTACGTTGGCACAACCATTTTACGGCATACTTTTCCTTCTAGCCAATAGAATTCACGTAGTGAAAGCCTGCTTTTCACAGAGCTGTGAATCGAATTATTACTGGCTAGTTCCCATGAATTCGGTACAAGGCGAAAGATCGTGTCACTGTCTTGAGCCGATCCTTTTTTAGAGAAGTCAAACTCTCGCCGTACACCACGTCAGACTTTTCGTGCACGGTACGCCGTGAATTTCCCGACTTTTTCGACATGTTGGTCTCAGTAGCTCAATCGGTGAAGTGCTTGACCCGTCATCAAGATGTGTGTTCGAAGCCGTGACATTTTAGAACTTCTCTACCAGTTCGCTACATAAGATGCTGAATAGCTTGCTCTCAGCCAATGCGTGCTGTCAGTGTAATGAATTGTACAACTCCGTGAGGGTGTCTTGCAAACATTCTGGCCGTGCCATTCATTCAAATCATAAATACATTCGCTACTGTAGCACTTCCGCTACGCAGCCCTCAGTTGCCCGCTGCCAGCTATTGAGTTTAAATGGAATGTTCCACATTTGTATGGGATTTTCAACTGAAATAGCCGCCTGTAAGACCATTCGGTGCAGTTCACAGCCCTGTCCTTTCTTAACACCTAATCATGCAGTTCCTGAGGTATACACCCACAAGAATACAGATTATTTTTACAGACTTTTTCAAGGCTTTTCAGAAATGCATGATGACATAGCTACGTCGTTCAAATCCTGCCATTCCGCAGCCTATGTGGCGGTCAAGGCAAAACATAATATTCTGTTGAGCCGTTCAAAGCTGGCGTCCGTGAGCTCGATTTCCAAATGCTGCGGATGTCAATTGGCAATCCGTGAATATTTAGCATTCTGCGTAATTTAAACCCGCGTCATCTTTGTGCCACATAATATAAAAAGTTGGACGTTCCCCCATTTATTACTAAAATAAGACTTGCCACTTCAAGCACCGTGCTTCCTTCTCTCAGTGAGTTTAAAGTACTGCAAGGGAGTGTTAGGGTGGCAGAGGATGTTGAAAAGCTGGTATAGTTAAGCATGACCGCCTGAAAATGCACCATGGCCGTGGTGGAAACAATCTAAAACTACTGCCCGCCACATTACGGATGGATTACGCACTGCGCCCTTACACGAAGCCATCAACACCAACTACCAACGAACAGTTGGAACGGGTGTCCAGGGGAACGGGGAACCGCACGGGAACAATACAGATCTCATACCGAAGTTGAGCAGACTAGAACCGAAGTTGTGGTGGTGGGGGTGGGGCCTGAATGGAGGCGCGTGATTTACTGTTTCCGGAAGTCTTCCAAAACAAATTCATACCGTCCAAAGATGAGAATGAGGCGTATATTTTCACCGTTTTGGGGCTACCCGCCGCACAGATTAACAGCTACAGCAGCACGACTCAGTACAGTACAGAACACAGCTCAGTAAAGTACAGTGCAGTTTTGTATAGTACAGTATAGTTCTCGCGTTTTTACCAAAAATCACGCCTATTACGTTCACAATAGGTAGCGTAGTCTGGTTTCTAATCTAGAGGAAGATGCGTCACCAACCATGGGGCGATTCTCGGCCGGGCGAGGGCTTGTTGCTCAGACCACGTTCAGAAGTTAAGGTTTAGACTGGTAGGCGATAGGATGCCGGCTATTGCAGGAGCACTTATGCCAATCTAGCCCCTATTCAAATTTTTACATGGTCAATGTCGTTTGCTCTACGCAACGTCTCTTCACTAACGACACTTTGCTCTGCTCGGGAGCAGCTCGCCGCCGCTTCGCCGGCCCAGTGGCCGGCCGGCGGATACGGCCGAAAATCGCCAGCCCTCGCCGGCATCGTCAGGTGATATTAGGGGCTACGCTACATCAGGGGTTATGAGACACTGGGGGTTATGATACGTCAGGTGCTTTGATATATTAAGAGTTGCGGTATATAAGAGGTTACGAACATCAGGGATTACAATACGTTAGGCGTTATGAAACATTACGGGTCATTACGCACTAGGTGTTCTGATACATCAGGTGCTGTGACAGTATTAGAATTTGCGAAACATTACGACTTGTGAAACATTAGAGATTTGATACATCAGGCCTTACGATACATTGGGTGTAGGGACACATTTGGGATTACAATATATTTGGAGGTCATGGACATAAGGATTTGTTATACGTCAGGAAATGTAATGCCACGGCACAGATGGCGTTCAAATCTAGGCCCTCATGGAGCCAAAGGTACTAACCACGCAGTCATTACGTCCCCCCCCCCCCCCCGCCCCCATTTTCACGGTCCACTGGGACATTATGTCTCCATCCCGACCTTCTCATACTGTCAGCTGCGTTCCAGTTACAGACGATAGAGGATTCAACGACGTCACAAAACTCAAAACTAAACAATTTACACTTTCAGCTGCATGCTACGCGTCGATAACAGAGAATTTACGAACGTTGCAGTTCTATGCTTCAATTCATTCGGTGGCAACAATCACCATGCCGTTGGCTCAAGCCGACCGTGTTATTAGATTCAGCGCTGCAATTTTCACGTGGCCATGAGGTGATGGGCACGTGGAGGTGACTCCGAAAGGTGAGCGTAAGGCTGTGTCGCGGCCCTCTGCGCGTGCAGCCGGCCAGCGCACACTCACCAGCAGCACCATGTGGACGGCTATGCAGGGTGTGACGCGCAGCGGCCGGAACATGGGCTCCAGGTCCGAGACGACCGAGTGGCGAGACGGCACATCCTCCGACGGCACCAGGCTCTCCTCGTCAGAGCGCGCCATGCTGGACGCCGAGCCAACGCTCGACTGAAACTGAGCCGTCCAACAAGCGGTAACACCACGGCCGGCTCTGTCAGGCGGCGGGCACGAAGGACGGGCGTAGGTGGGGGGCTGACGACACGCGGGCACCGGCGTTGAACGACGCCCCTAGGACGGGCGGTACGGGATCCCCGCCGCACGTCCGTCACGAGAACACCCAAGGCGGCACGTGACCACAAGCGAACCGGCGCAGCCGCATGGAGCGTCTGAGATGGATTAGCGCTAAGCGATTAGGTGGTGTGGAGAAACACCTTTCACTATTGTGCCCCGCTGGACTTGGTGCTCCCCCCCCCCCCCCCTTCACACACACACACACACAAATCAAGGCCGCGGATTTTGGCCACTTCATTCTCAGATGACTACACTCACAGATAAACCGCATAACGCATACCGAGTACTTCCTTCCCCGGCGACCACAGCGGCTAGAGTGATTCTGCCATGAAGCTTACGGTGGGTGATGTGCAAAACGTCCCATGAACAGTGAGCTAACACGAGGGTAAGAGTGGCGGCCCGGAACGTATACAGCGCCAGATGAAGGAAGTTCGACCAATGGGCGTCTGTGACAAGGCTACGCCTACTTGCACGGCCGCTGGAGGCAGGGAGAAGGCCGGTGCTGGCCAGCTGACGGACGGCGTCTCGAAACGCCTGCGGTGCTGCCACCGGGGGTGCCCTCAGCAATAGAAACCGTACCGCTTCACCATTTTACCCGCACCATTTCACCACTTTCCCCGTACCATTTCATCACACCCCACTTCGACTCGCACGCGATCGCCGTGCATATCGAGGGCTGGACTGTCTGGTACATTAACTGCAACGAGGAGGTCTTGCTCAGGTACGGCTAGAAACCACACGAAACTGTGCAGTTCATACCTAACAAAGATGACATGTCGCAGCAGCCAGCTCCGTTGCCAAAGGAAGACGCTACGGACGCCATGAATGAGACTGGCGGCAGGACGCGGCCTGCAATACGGTCACTCGGCCTACGGGCCTCCAGAACATTAGCAGCGCGTGCTCCCTGAACGCGGTGCTGCAATGCCTCAGCAATGCCAGCGTTGCAGCCCACTACCCGATGTTCCAGCTCCCTTAAACCGGATCCAAACACGGAAATGGTCACTGCCCATGGTGTCATCTCCAACGCTGCAGTCCAGGTGCTGAGCCGGCTGGGGAGCAGAGAGACTATGGCCTAGCGCCGACGCCTGACCGAATACTATTGCTGAATGTAAAAGAGTTCCTGCATTTTTAAAGGAATGTTTCACATTTGAAAATATCGAAGCCAGCATCAGATATGATAAAATATGCTCATCTACAATTATTGGTCTAATTTTAGGTGGAAAAGAGTGCTACCTTTCAAAAACGCCATCGTGCCTTGTAATTCATCGTAACTGTCACCCTTTGATTACGTCATAGTACTCTTGCACGACACTGACTGCGAGTCGATTGAAAATTGTTGTATCTGGAAATCGTGCTCAAGAACGCCAGATATGAGCGATTTGATACCTATGTGTTTTGGCCTTGACCACCGCGTGACTAATGGGATGCCAGGATTTAAATGACGTCAATGGCGTCATGGATGCCTGGTTGAGCTGAGATAGTGTCCCCCCCCCCCCAAAAAAAAGTCTGCACATGCTCGCGGACGTATAGCCCAGAAATAAGAGGGGTTTAGGTCTTAAGACCTAAATCCCTCTAGAACGTCCTAACAGAGAAGCCAGGATTAAAAGTCAAAGTCAAGTCAAAACCCCATGTAAATGTGGAACACTCCCTTACGGATACATAGTGCGGCGCCATGGACACGATTACCAGAAAGCTTCCAGAAGTACTTCTGATGTCACACACTCAAATAGAGTGATGTGCGTTAAGGCCGCCCAGAAGCAGAAGTAGTGGAGGGAGTCCAAATCGCACATGCACATGCATACCAACGGAAAGGCGAAGCCTGGTGGAGCGTAAGCGAACAAACAGTTATGTGACGGTGATTAAGGCGAGGGTCGCACGGCCACAGCCTGGAAGCTTGGACCGCAGTCCTTACCCTCCTGGCTACACGCTATGGTGAACCGCGAGGAGTACACCACCGTGTGTAACGTGCTCTCCGTCAACGCGTCGTTGCGAAACATAACACATTTCTTTCCACGAGCAGCAATGTGCAGACCCTAGCTATCTCCTGCAGCGCTACGGGTGTGGGAAAGAGCTTGCTGACGACAGCCTGGAGATCTAGGGCATTCGCCCTGATCTCCCCAAAGTTCCATTGTAAAAACGTCTATACAAGAGCGCATTGAACAGGCGGTAAAAAGTGACAAGCTAAAACCAGACACAGCTTAAAAGAACTAGGTTGCGCCAATTCCAGAGCCAGACGCCTCCGACCGAGAGCTGCGGCCCCGTGCCCCACTCTGAGACGAGTCCCGGCGCTCCCTCCGTCACTGCAGGCGGAGGACCCAGTGGGATACATTTTATGCCGGCATACCCAGTCCGGGGTGGCCGCGGGGGGGGGGGGGGATCCATCGATGGGCCTTTACCAGATGTCTGGGGACCAGTAAGGGCCTTAACCTGGCCTTCTGCGTGATGAAGTGTTGTTTCGAGGGACGGGCGCTTTCTTTGACTGCCTCGGACAGACGAGTTGCCGCCTTGGTACCCTCCAGCTCCGCCCGGCACGCCAGGCAGGCTCCACCAGGCACGTCCGCTTGGTATCGCAGGCGCGCCCGTCTGCTTCGTAGCGCTCCATTGTCTCTGACGCTCGTCCACGCGCACTTGCCAGTAGCGTCGGAGGCGACGAAGGCAGTGACGTGTCCAGAGAGGAAGCAAACGGGGGCGACGGAGTGTCCGACGCGGGTGTCGGCGGAGGCCGCGGACCACAGCTGCGTCGGACTACCATCAACCCCTCCTTTCCAGGAGCGACAGCGGCGCAAGGGAGGGAGGCAGCGTGAGGGCTGCCAGGCGTGCCGGCCGTCGCGGGGAGGGGGCGGGGAGGGGGGGGGGGGCAAGGACCCCGACGGGCGCCGGCCGCCTGTCCCAACCGCCACTACTGAGAGCCCGCAGGGTCTCGAGCGCGAAATAGGTTGTAGATCTGACATTTTATCGATGGTAGTGTGCTGTGGTGCTAAGCTTTTGGATTCTCTCCAAAGGACGTTCCGATGTGACTCACCTCGTTCAGTTAACCCACGCGAAATGGATGTTCCTGGCGTTATACAGAGAAATGGTTTCCTTCTCTTCCATGAGGGTCCGACAGCCCAGGTCAAAGATCGTGTGGGATACCTGATCAGTACCCCAGTTCGCGCGCCATGGCTGCACAGCGTCACACTGGTCCCCTTCGTATTCAGACAAGGCACACTTGCCACAGGCTGGTCGGCTTCGGCAAAGTGGTTTCGTGTCACTGAAATGCTGGCACTGGGAGCCGCGCACAGGACTGAGAACGTTCACTCGAACTTTGCCGACGATGTGGCCAACGCGGATATGAGGTTATATATGATATGATGCATACATATATATATATATATATATATATATATATATATATAATATGGCACATATGACGCCAGTTATGGTACCGGTAGTGTAGTGGTTAACACGACTGCGTTAATCACTGCGCGTCTGGGAAATCAGAGGTACGGGGTACGATTCCCCGCGGTGCCCGCCCTTCCTGCCAGGGTGAGAGGCAGGCGACGCCATACAGCCTCAGCAGCTAGGTGCGTCCTAAACCCCTAATGACGCACACACACACAGACATGGCCATACATACACAGATATGATTTTTGCGCCACATCTCAGCAACTAGGGCATGTCAAACCGTGATAATGAATGGCTTTTACTAAGAATTATGGATTTTTCTCTTTTGCGCAATTAGTCACGTTTTGTGCCAAATCGCTGCACCCAGGGCACGGATGCACTAGGGAGTAGCATGCGTTAATGAGGAATGGAACGGACAATCACGTGACTTGGATTGTGGCGTCACGTGTGGCACGAGCCAGGAAATTGAACTAAAAACGGCCGCTACCGACCGTTTTTCACTGTTCGATACAACGCAGTGTTGTTAAATGTAACGGCAGTGCGTGCTGTCATCATTCAAAAGGCTGACAGTTGGTGGAAGGGGCAAAAATCACCGACGACGTCCCGCGATCATTCGCCGATCCCGTGGAATAGGTTCGGCTGTGTTGCAGAGAGCGCAGGCGAAATGCTCTCTCTCCTGCCGCCAGAGACCGTCAGCACCTTGCGCGGCCTGCGGCCGACTCTTTTTCACACTTACGCGATATCTCTAGGCCACTAGGGCACCTACAACCATGATTTCAACCGCAAAAGATGCATAATGAAAATTTTCAAATTTTGCATCAGTGCAGCGAAGCAGGCGCGTAAGCGCTTATGGAAACTAAAATCGCATTGTATACGGCTTCAATTTCCCGTCCCTCCCAAAAAAGGCCAGTCTTCCGAAGCGGGGACGGACCACGGTCAGTTGAGGGCGCGGAGCGGAAAACAGGAGCTGACGGTGCCGACGCGACACAGCGTATGAGTTACTGAGTTTGTATATGCTATCACGACCAACGACTGAAAAGCGAAACATGAGTGTGCCGGTGGACAGCTACCTGCCTTATTGTGTATATTACTAAGGCATGCACACTATTACAAGGCACTTGTGTATCTTACTAAGGCACTAAGGCATGCACCGTGTGCAGAGCCGATAGCAGTTGAAACGAAATGCAGGCCAAGTTTGAATGTCATGCAGTGTGCCTTTTCACCTGCCCCAGTTTCAGAGCCGTGGCAACATGCTGCTGACACAAAATGAATTGATGCAATTGTAAATAATGAACAGCTAGCTAACAAAGAAATGCACCTGGTTTGAACACCATCATAGATGAGTAATACTGTATGATGAAACTCTGTGCTTGTTGTAAAATTAATCCCAAACTAAAAACTAGCTGTTTGGCAAAAATCAATGAGTCAGTACAGGCACTCACTGTTAACAAAATAGACCTATAATTTTGCATTGTTGTGGCAGATACAAATTTTCTGTCATTTGTTGTGACAGCAAGTGTTGTGCAGCCCAGAGTGATCACACCATTCACAGCATTCACAGCTTACAGCAGCATGCTGAAAAGTAATAATAGGTTGCTTCAGTGAATGCAATGCTTTCACATCCACGCAGTGCAGCAGCTATGGCCGCTTCAATCCAAAGCATTGCTCACACAAGTAATAATGCCTGTAACAACAGGAAAATGTTGACTCACAAGCAATGCTAGCATGCACATAAAATTTGTTAAGGTGGTAGTATTTGCATGCACAATAATACAGTACATTACTTTTCTTAAGACAAATGCACTTTTCCCAAAACCATATCATATCATAACTATGGCTGCTTGACTCTATATGCTGCTGTCCACAGCACTGACTGGGAATGAACCCAAAATAGTTTTCCTGATACCAGATTTCAAAATAATATTCAGGAGTACTTAAATGAAAAACTGAGCATGGGGTTAGAGCCATGCAAGCCCTCCCTCTCTGTATGCAACAGCATCTGAGCACATGCCCACTACCTACAGCTGGCTAAATGGCAAAGCATAGGGTGAACTCAAGCAGCATGGGTTCAACCCCACCTTTAAGACGAGCGTCCACAAGCGTCACCTTCTTGTCAGATGAGGCAGGCGACGTAACTTCAGCGGCCGAGTGCGTAGTTAGACCCAATAACACACGAGAGCATCCCGCACCCGCATTGCTATTACCCTCCATCACTCCATGCCCACCACGCAACGCAATTTTCAATTCAATACGTACCAATCGGTCCACGGCTCCCGACGGACGTTGCCCCGCAACAAAGCTTGGCGTACCCACATCCATTTCCGTTGATCTCTCCATTTACTTCCTTGCGGTAGGTGGGGAGGGGGATTATTTTGTTTTCAAGTCGCTAGAGACTTTTCCTGATAAAATATCTCAAGTTATGCTTGGGAGTTCCAGCGCGTATTTATTCCAGCACATATGGAAATTCCACTACTAGTAAAAAATTGTGGAAGGCTACCAGATTCGAAAAATTCTCTTACTTGCGCACGTAATACCAAACAAGCATTTGAAGCTTGCACACATCAAATGCGTTGTGTATGCTCGGCGCGCCTGACGTCATTCGAGCCTGCACGAAGGGGTCAAAAGATCGCAACGATGCTGGGCACTGTGAGCAAGGTTTGTTTAGTCACTCTTTTAGTCCTTAAGTTTAAGTTAACTCTTTTGACTCTTTAAGATAGTCACTCTTTAAGTGGGTTCCTGGTTTGGTTTCCACTGGTCCTGATTTGTGACTAGGCTGTGACTTTGTCCTGGTCTGATGCAAAGCTGAGCTTGTATCATGAATTATGTTAGCAAGTTAAGCATAGGCATGATTATGTCTCTGAAAGTGCGGAGTGAGATAGGGGTCTGCCCAAAGGTTGGTTCTCCCTGGTGCCAACAACCTCTGGTCCTGATAGGGGTGGGTGGGGGGGGGGGGGGGGCGGTGTCGAGCGACCCCCAAGGCTTCTTGAATATAACTCTCCGAATGTCGTGCAATCGCGCCCGAATTTTTGGTAACTCATGGGGCATCTATTTGTACGTATTTTGACACAAAACAACGCGCCCCTAGCTCTTGTGGTTTCGGAGCAGCGGCGGTTTCTGAAACATATACACGGCGATCTACGGTCGGCCGGCTGGGGGACAGAAAGGGAGTGGGACGGCAAGCGACGATGCCACGGAACGCGCGCGGGGGTATGGTATTGTTACATTAACGTATCCATACATGATCAACACACGGTTAAAATGCGTAAAACTATGTACCATTGCTCTCATAATTAAACAAGGAACGCGTCTGTCCGAATCTCATATTGATACGAGGCATGACCTCGTATGCATAATGCAGTAAACCTGCAATGGTGCGATTTCAAACATTCGTGATGTCACTTGATGCAGACAGTTCGCTGACGTTGGTTAGGTGCGTATGCACTATGTTCACCTTTAAATGACCAGTAACTCGAACGGCATGGTGCGCAAACGTCGTCGAGCCCAGCGAAGACGTGCAGGGGACGAGCTTCATGTGCTTATCCTTATCGACTTAGTGGGCCCCTGATCAGCCGCAGAGCCCTCTGACTGACATTTGAGTGCCCGGCCCTGCGGGTCGGGGCCCCGGAATGAGACCTCCGATGGGCCTTTCGGGCCCTTCGGTCCTCAAATCTGGCCCTTAATCGTAGGTTCTAGGCACGTGCTCCCTGTGCCCCCCCCCCCCCCCCGCCTGTGCTTTTAGGACCCCGACAAGGACATAAGGCTCTCCATTCATATAAGAAATACCCACGACACAATGAAGAGGGCCCCTGAACGATCGAGAGCATTCGAATAAGAAACACCTAAGACCCAGTGTAGAGGGCCCCCGAAAAATCAAGCGTGCTCGAGCAGGTTTTCAGAAGGTCCCCGACAGGGGTGTTGGGCCCTGAATTCAAGTGCCCAATGTGCAAGGCCCCAAGCAACCCAGTGTGCCCGAGCAAGTTAACAGACGGGGCCCAGAAAAGTGTGTAGGGTCTTCCATTGAAATAGAAAGTACCGAAGACCCAATTCTGAGGGCCCCAACGACATGTGTGCCCAAGCAGGTTAACAGATGGAACCCGAAAAGAAGCGTAAGGCCCAAGCGAGTGACAGAGAATTTGATGGGTACTAGACCAATGAAGAGGGCCCATGAGCGTATCGCGAGTTGTCGGGAGCTTAACCGAGACCAACGTGGAGGGCCCCTGAGCAACCGGGAATATCTCGGCAGGTTTCCATAGAGGGCCTCCGGCTATAGCGTACAGAGCCTTTTGGGCGAACGGAGAGAATCCGTGGAAATTAACCAGTGGGCCCCGGCACTCCGGCAGGAAGGGCCCAGGAACAGCGCAGGGCCCTCCGGGCAAATTCAAAGAAATCAGGTGCAACCTGGAAGGCTACTTAACGATCGGAAGCATCCTGCAGGTAGACATTTAGGCACCCGGAAGCAGTAAGGGACCTCAGGATAGCCTAATTGGCCTTAAAATCCCCCAATTACGACCCTCTCAATCAGTGAGAATTACTTTTGTTTACTCGTGGGCCCTTCATTTTCGCTTACGGCCGCTTCTAGGTCACCAGGAAGCCTTAAGACGTCAAATTTTGGTGCGTCTGTGTTAGAAAATGCGGTGCGTATCCACCCTTCAACTGTTGTTGGCTGACGGTCGCAGTTCATGATGGTCACTGCTCAGCAGCCAATCAAGCTTGAAAGTAAATCAGCTGTCAGCATCCTGTTTTTTTGGCATTACAATAACTACGCACTTGCGCGAACGCGCTAAAGACGAGATCACCGGAATTCTTCCGATATATTCAGGATTGTGGCCTTCGTCGTCGTGGTTTGGTACGTGGTGAGGTGGGTGTTGTGGCGATGGGTTCCCGCTTCTACAGGGTTAAACTGACCTGAGTACCGATGTTTTCATAGTATTAGTTATTCTACACCAGCAAGGCCACTAAATTAAGCATGGTTAAATATATTTTTCAAAAGCTTTGCAAGATTACAAATGGGTTTATCAAGGATTTTGTCGGTGAAGCACAACAGGCATTGCAATCTCCCATGGGATTTGTTGTCTCTTGGAAAACACATGATGGGGACTTAGGGGATTTCTGGAATGAGTTATCCCTACAAAAGGAAGGATATGGCTCCCTGAAATGATATTTTGTGTCATTTAGCTAATGTTGAATATGGAGCATATCAGGAACTTTGTCAGGGTGAAGGATACATATTTTTTAAAAATATAAATATTGTGGCTGCCATCAATTAAGCTTGTGATGACCCTTGCCCAAGAAACCAGTCCAGGATTTTGTTTGGGGATTGCGGTGCCCATGGAAGTCTGGGCCGCTCAAAAACAAAACTTTCAGAACTGTCGTGGTGGCCCAGGAATTTGGTGCCTCGTGTTATAAAAGGCTGTGTGGTCCTGACATGAAGGCTTTTGGTGTCTGTTCACAATAACATTTTGATGGCACAAAGGGGCACCAGAGCTTTGTGAGTGACCAGAGGGGATGGATGGCATAGTCATCAAAAGAATGAGACAATCAAATTTTAAAGTCCTGGAGCATTATATGACACCATTCAATGAAAGATCTTTGTAAATCCCAGTGACTGGTACTTCTGGTAAGAAACACAATGCCATCTCAAAATTGTGGTCTTTATGCAGCCTTCTGGAGCAGCCTCAAATCAGCACCATGTGGTAGCACATGTGGTGCCCACTATGACAATGAGGTGCTCTGACCAGAAAGTGGCGTTTTTTCTTGAGTAGATAAGCTGTCTGAACCAAAGGAAGATGAACTATTGATATAGCATGATTTTCATATGCTATGAGATGCCTTTAAATGGAACACAGTAACTAAGCTACCAATGCCCAATCTGCTGTCCTTGGTGCTCATCCTTGAAACATGAACTCTTGAGCATAACACAGCTTGAAATGTTTGTTGCTTTCAGTAGAATTTTTGGCAGTAGAACAGCTTTTACCTGTGTCTGGGAAATGGGATGGGTAAGTTCATGAGTTGCCCCCTCATCCAACATCCCCAATGAGAAATGCTTTGTTCCACCCCTGTATTGACTCCATGTCCCAGAAATGGTTGGCTAGCATGTATCAAACTCACCCTCTCAGATTTATAGCCAGCAGCTCTGGTATTGTAGTTACTCTGAAAATGTTTTGTGTGACATGTTTCTTGGCAGCCTGGTTGTCTGGTCTCTAACTAGATTTTATCTGCTTCCAGGTCAGTTATGCTAAAATTTGCACCTCTCACAGTACTAAGCACAGTCTCAAGTGGGGGTTTTGCTGGTTGTTCCATATCTGTGTGGTGGCTGTGATATCAAGTGTTGTGTATGTGCATATCAGAATGAAGCTCACAATTGACCTGTGGAAATGCATTCACTTACCAGCAAAATCATTCTCTAAATTGAAAGCTTCTGGAAGGCTGTTAGGAGATGTATTTAGTTCATCTAGTATGATTTGGTTTGAGTGTTTTCACTGTACATTACAAACAGCATGCAAAAGCCATCTCAATACTTACTCTGGGCAGGGAGGCAAGTGTAATGAAATGACATATTGGTCAGGGCAGCACTAGCCCATACTTTTAGCTGATAAGATGAAAGAAGTAAATTATAGGTGAAATATTGTAAAAATATAGATTAGGTAAACCACATTGATTTAGGTTGATTTTTATGTCTCTGAATCAATGGCCAGGATCATTATGGTTTCTGTTATGACTTGGGTACTCACCCTTTTTCTGGCCTAGGTGGCTGTTTGGTATTCAAACAGCTCCTGTGATTATTATATATTAGTGTTCACTAATTATTTTTTAAATGTATTAATATCAGATGCAGTTGGTTGAAACAGTTATATTAGTATTCATATTCATTAGTTGTAGTTGGTGAAAAGGCCTTGCCTCTAAAGCCAGCAGCTCTAAGAAGTGGATGGTAAACAATGATTATTATGTTCTCTCAGTGGTTTCTGCAGTAGTGGTTGACTGTTCAGGGCTGTGCTCATTTCATAATGCTGGTCGAGTTTGCATAAGGTTTGTTTTCTTCTTCATGCATCTCGAATGAAATCAAGGAGCTTAATGGTGTTCCAGGTGATGCTGCATGAAAGATTTGACCAGAATAGACATGATAGTATATCATGACTTTTAATCAACACACAAATAACATCCACAGATCCTAACTCAGAGATACTTGATAACTGCTTCCACCAATCTGTAGGATTGCATCTTGTTCTGGTGTCCTGTCATCCCATAGCAAGAGATGTGTGATCCTCTTATCCATAGAATGGTGTCAGTTGCTGCTGGCTCACCCATCTCAGCTGCAGCTTATAACAAAAGCAATGGCCCTGTGCTGAAGCCTATATAATCTGGCTTGTAACTTC